TTTCCTTACAAGTTTTGCCAAACAATCAGCATCAAAAAAAATATTCCCAAAATTTTTAAATGAATGTTCATGGCCAGTTTCGATGCTTGTTTCCATCAAACTCAATAGAGTCGTTCTTTGCCAGACTTCCATGTTTAGAAGAATGGTTTTCCAACGAAAAGGTGAATCAAACTGTAGAAAAATAGATTTTCTTGAAACTTAAGAATTTCCTTACAAGTTTTGCCAAACAATCAGCATCAAAAAAAATATTCCCAAAATTTTTAAATGAATGTTCATGGCCAGTTTCGATGCTTGTTTCCATCAAACTCAATAGAGTCGTTCTTTGCCTGACTTCCATGTTCAGAAGAATGGTTTTCCAACGAAAAAGTGAATCAAACTGTAGAAAAATTGATTTTCTTGAAACTTAAGATTTTCCTTACAAGTTTTGCCAAACAATCAGCATCAAAAAAAATATTCCCAAAATTTTTAAATGAATGTCCATGGCCAGTTTTGATGCTTGTTTCCATCAAACTCAATAGAGTCGTTCTTTGCCTAACTTTGATCAATTTCTTATGCTGGTATTACACTTTTCCTCAATTTATTGGCCAATAAATTGAAAATAATTTTCTGCGCCGTCGTTTACTGTACATTTCGCTATTGTTTCCACAATAAATTGGAGCAATTTCGGAAAAACCAACATAAATTTCAATATTGTTGTTTGGTGTCGGTTCAAAAAAAGGCTAATTTTTGTTGAGAAAATGCTTCCATAAAAACAGATTTTCAACATCTGAAGTACATTAAAATGAAAAAATAACCAAACTCCTCATTCCTGACCACTCTGCTGCCAGCATCGAGAGATGCAAAATTAGCAAACAAAAAAAACCCAAAAAGTCCGCAGAAAATTATGCAATTTTTCGATCGCATTCGTTGCTGCTCATCGCATCGAATTGTTTCTCCAATAAATTGGGGAAAATTGCATTCTATCAGCAAACGAGCGCATTAATTTTTTCGATTTTTTTTCGCGTTTCTCTTATAGAAAACTTCTAGAAAAATGAACTTAATGCATGTTTGACATTGTTTTGAAAATGTTTGAGAAGGCTCATTAAAACGCAATTTTCTGCCCATTTCATGCAAGCGCAAAAAGCACCTAGAAAAAATGCCGCCGGATTTAAATGTTATTTTGCCAAGAGCGAAAAAATAGGTGAAGTTTCTTAAAAGGAAAATATTAAAAGACATTTTGGCAACGCAAACAGTTCATAAACCTTGTCGTTAAAACATCGACCAATCTCTTCACCAAACAATTTGAGTCAAAAACTGTTCAACCTGGAAAAACCTGATTGTTTTTTTGAGTTCTTCTGAAGAAAAGATTCGCATCAGCTTCTGCTTCATCTTAACCATGGCCATTCCCTCAATTGGTAGATTTTTGTGTGACTTAACGAAATGTTTAGGATCTGGCCGTCTAGCTAGTGTATCATATGCAGGAGCAAGAGCGTACGACAGGAGGCCTCATATCTATTTGTACGATAATCCCATGCAGAGCGATATTCAACTGTTGAGTTACTACATCAACAAGTTCAAGCAGGAGAAGGCCTACAGTGGCGATTCGAGCAAAAGTAAGCATTTCAAATATTGGGAAGCGATTTGTTGAAAGGAAGATCAGGGATTTGAGCTGGCTGGCGGCCGCTTTGAGGCTTCAAATGCTTCATCTTTCTTTCCTCCCACTTCTACTACTGTAACTAATAAGGGTTTCAACCTAACCGTGTGTATTGATGTTGTGGTTTTCTTCCTTACAGCCGACGGTAAAAAAATTGAGATTGAAGAAAAGCCGGAAATTACCGAAGTTACTGATTCTGCACCCGCTTCTGAATAATCCCTGTCTCTATCACCCACTATTTATTTATTTTTACCTCTACTTTCTCTGCCTTTTTACACCTACAGCCTTCGGGCATTTGGAGCTACTTAACTTGCTGAACACCTCCCAAATAGCCCCCCTTTCCAGACAATCTGGCATTGCTGTAAGGCACCGAATCTATTAGGTATATCTTTACTATGTGCACAAATGTATTTTTATATAATTTTACTGTTATCGTTTTGTTAAGGCTTCGACCTATATACTGTTATTGTATAAATACGCAACTTAACTGTATCCGCAAAGCGAAACACCAAAGAAATCACACGAACGACACAACATTACATTTTTCTTTGCCACAAAGAAAACTGTTTCTATGTATTTAACTTAAGCATATGAATGTGTTCAATGGAAGAATAAACTTATTTTGATAAGAAAAATGTTTTATTTCCTGTGTTTGCAGCGTATGTGCAGAATAACTACTGGCAGATTGGATGAAGAACTTAATCAGTTGGCTGGAAATTGCGCAATTTTCAAGTATTTTTCTCAGGCCATTTTAAGCCCTTTATGAGCTCAGTTCGAAGACTTTTCTTGCTTGAAATAGTTGCTCGATGCTTAATTTTTGCAAAATCTCTTTGACCACTTTTTGTGGTTTCGGGCTGTTCGGTCATAATGGAAAACACTTTTCCCTAACGTTAAGCGAGCACAAATAATGGCTTTAACACCTCTGAAGGTACAAAGCGCTCGTGCGAGCGAAACCTTTGGAGAAAAATTATTTCCCACGGCGTCTCAACATTAAGAAAATGTTGTAGTGACTAGTCAGCTATTTCTCAGCTCAGAAAATATGTTTTTAGGAGACATTTTTTAAACAGAAATTTGTTGCGTGTTTTGCACATCGAGCAGTTTGCATCTCTGGAGATTTTAATCCTGCTGAAAAAAATATTATAAAGAACTGGTGAATTTTTCGGGCTGCTAAAATCGAAAAAGTTCTGAATCAATCCCAATCAAAGCCCGCAAAATCTGAGCTATTTTGACCATTTTTTGTGGTAAAACTGGTGACTTTGGCTGTGAAGCCATGGGAAAAAGGACTTTTTTCACGACTGCTTGAAAGCCCGAAAAACTCTTCAGTAGCACGCAATGGCCACAAAAGGACAACTTTTTGGCTTATAAGAAAAACTGCGTTTTCTTTATTCGTTGCATATTTATAAAAAAATCATAAAAACATTTATCCGCACGAAACCAGCTCGAGAGCTGCAGATTTTCCTTGATGGACAAAACTTCAGAAATCCAGAAATCAACGTTTACACAGGGTGTTTCAGAATGATTTTTTCCCGTTTTGGGGCTATAAAGGAATTATTGTGCGTTCTTGTCCTCAAATGTTGTCTTTTGTTGCACTGAACCCATAAACTTGGCCGCAAGGTTTCCAAATCGTATAAAAAGTCCTGGAAAATTGTGGCAAACTTCTCCAGTTTTCCATTTACCTAAAATCAATCATCAACACTGAATGGGCAAAAGCGGTTCGAATTTCCAAGTGTGAACGTGGACTGAACATTTCCAGCTCAACAGCTAAGTTCTTCATTAAAAAAGTCAATTTAGGGAAAAACCGTCTTCTAACTAACCGATTTGTTCAATGATAAACTTTTCGAGTACACAACGCGCCAAGTGATGAATTATTCACAGCATCAGATTTTTTTGGATTTTCAATCTCGTCGCTTTCGATACGTTAGATGCGCCTAAAAATCGATACCTAAATAAATTAGACTAGCAATCGACACTCACTGTGCAACAAATGCTCGATTTGCACATTGAGAAACAAAAGCCTTTAAAAAAAATGGTGTACGTCACGGGACGCTCGACAGAAGTGATAACTTCATAAATTTATAGAAACCGTAAAATATTGAACTTGTTTAACGCATGATGGCAATAATAATTTTATTTTAAAATTTTGATATTCTTGTTAGTCTAATCATTTATAAATGGATCAGGAATAGGTCAAATTTAATTTAATAATAATAATATCACACTCAATAATTGATAAATCTAAATCACTCTCAGTTTAATAACGCAATGTGTATTTAAAAAGTTTATCAGATCTACAGATGCACCCGGACTAACAAAAAAGTGCATTTGAGGCCGGAGTGGGGGTCGCCGTGACCGAGAAAAATCGGTTCACCCTCCCATAAAAAGTTATCACTTAAAAAATATTTATATAAGCATTTAAACATTTATTTTCGGATTAGAACTTTTCAGTTGAGCTACACTTGAAGCAAAGAGGAATCAAATTAAAACATTCTGCTAAACTTACGCAGCACCTGGGATGAAGGCTGTTAATTATATAACAAATACAAACCAAACTTCAGTTAATATCGATGCAATCTACCCAACCAACAGCTTGCAACTGACTGCAGAAGATCGGGAAACTAGTTGGCAAAAACACAAGGCATTTGCTCCAAACCTGACACTCTGTATATTGTCACTGTTTCACTGAATACCAGAGATCTTTCAACAGTTGCCTGGGACACTTTTTTGGCTGTAGACCGAGGAATCTTTAATATGACAACACGATTTTCTTACAGTGGAACTTCACTTCGGTCAGTCCAGGACGCCCACTCGGACTAACGGCGCGAAACAATAAATAATTTACAAATGTGAAAACAGATTGCAGGCATTAATGAGGTCGTTAATATCGGCCTTGTCAGCATTTTGTGGCAAATTTTCAAAAATTAATAAAGCCCACGCCTACAACAAGAATAAATCCGATGCTTCATCGGCATGCCATACTCAGCATTGGGCGCTCATTTTTCCCGAAACTATGCTAAGAATGCGACTGGAATCTGTTCCAGAATAAATATTTATATCCAGACGTTTATTAAATATTGGATTTATTGAGCGTTGCAAGCTAAATGACGTTGGTGCTAGGGATGGTCGGTATTTAACGTAACCGCTAAAATAACATTGTTACAAACGTGTAACTTGAAACCGCAGTTACAGCTAGCAGATTTAACCGGTTATTTTTGGAACCGTCTCATAAACCTGAAAAAGTGGTTCGCGTCTGCACAGAACCGATGCGGCATCGTCGAGCGCTTTATGCAGTTGCAGCAGTTTCAGTGACCATTGGATCCCACCAGATCTTAAAAAAATGGAAAGCTTGCCATTTTTAGATATAAATTCAGTCACAAGATGAAATTAAAGTTAGTTATATAGACGTTGTAAGGTCGACATATTTTTTAAAAGTATTTTTTGGTGGTACCAAAATTAACTCGGGTAATACTTCGAACTCAGTAAAAAGCATCTGCAAAAAATTTTATTTTTAAACGTTAATTCAATTTTAAATAAAAATTAGATTTTTAAACAGCTTTGCAAATAAAGCGTATATTTTATTTAATCAGTTTTTATTTATATATTTTATCTAGTATATTATCAGTTCTTTAAGCAGGTACTGACCCATGTTTTGTTTTTTTATTTTAGAATATTTAATTTTATCTAAAAGCTTTAGTTAAGAAATATTGTTTTAATAAACTAAATCATTATTTGTCATTACTATTTCTACCATCATTATCATTGCGCATGTTTAATGAAATTTAAAAAGTAACATGTTCCTTTTGGAACCCCATTTGGAAACCTGTTATCAACGTGAAACTTGAACGTTGTAACCTTGTTACAGAAAAATAACCGTTTATCCCACCTCTAGTTGGTGCGGATTTACGACTTGGAAGTTGAGAAAATTTATGATTGGAACGGGGCAGGGTCATAACTAGCCAAGTTTTCATTGGGCTTCCAACAGTTTAATTGTTTTAATACGTTTTTTATTGTGCCAAGTCTGTTTAGCTGAAAATCTGAAGTTCTTCTTCGAAAATTCACTTTTTTGTGCTCCAATATATTAAGGAAAATGATCCAAAAAGCCTCTAAAAAAACTGTTTTGCATTGAATTATTAGGCTTTGGACGATAGGATTGTGGTCCCGACGTTTCGCTAGCACTCATGGCGACCAACTTCAACGGTTGGTTGCTCGCTGAAGCGAAAAAACAGCCCAATAACCCGAAAATCATTAATTGTTCAAACGGCCGCCAAACAATCATTTCCCAAGAAACTGTTAGGTTTTCGTTTCAATTACGGGCTTTATTTTTTTGTGTCAATAATTGTAACGAAAGATTTGTATAGAAGCAGGTGCACAAAGTTAAGTCGCGAATCGGAGAATTTCAGGTGAGACAATTCTGAAGATGGTAGCCAGGCATGCTAGCGAAACATCAGAACCACAATAACCAGAAAATCATGTGTTTCATGCGATGGCCGCAAAAGCAAAAATCTAATTTCGAAGTAGTTTTTTTTTCAACGAGAAGAATTTTGCATCTAGTAGCCGCTAATTATTGTGATTTTAACTGTAAATTAAGGCCTTCAAAAGGCCATTTTAGAGCCAAATTGGTAGTTTTTTTTAATTTAATTTATAAATTTCTATAAAGAATTTTTCGAAATTTGCATTGATAGCGTTAATTACTCCAATAAAGGCTCGTGACTTGCTTCTCGTCTTTCTCTTCTCTCTTGTTGTATATTCTATGTTATTGCCAAAATTTCGACGAGCATCTTGTTAATTCCTGTTAATAAAGTTGAATTGAAACTGCTTGAACTAAACCATTTGAAAAAATCGGAAAAAGCTATAAAGATGCAAAAAAACAACTTTCCGATGCTTTTATTTGCCGATTTCTCTCTCAAAACCCGTTGAAACTTTGCATAAAAAAATAAAACTAATTTTGGGAATTGACTGGTTTTAGTCCGACAAATTTTATTTATTGATAATATCCATCAACCGAACAGAATTTCCTTGCAAATTTAGTAGTGAATATGCTAATATTGGCATAGACGTGAAAATCATTGACTAATTGATGAATATGCAACATTACCGCAAACTTGGGCTAATCTCCAAACCAGACTTAATATAGAGAAAATATGGAAATTATCTTATTAGCGGCAACACTGGAGACTAATTTCACATATTCCACTTTGGGTGGATTCCATTGGAAATTTCGTAAAATCACCATTAAATTTATAAGAAATAATATAAAATTAACACAAAAGTAAACGGTTGACGGCAAATGAAGAAAAGCGTATATTGAGCTAAAACTCCAAGAAAAAAATTTAAYATTTTAATTTTCCAATTACAAACAAAAGCAATGTTGCACTGACAAATTTGGACCAGCTTTGGAACTGGATAAATTCTGCTGGCTGCAACCGCTTGCATTTCGGTTTGATGCGTTATCTAACGCTATTCTTTGGCAGTTAGCGTGCGGTTTTGTAAAAAAATTACTGCTTCACATAAATTTTCTACAGGGTGGCAAATGAAACAATGCAAAATTGCTGAACATTCTGTTCTCAAGTGTTCTCAGTTGGAYAGAWAAACGTTTTTTTTGCACATGCAGTAAGTTMTCTAGCCAATTTTTTGAGTTTAACGCCCATCTCGTTTATTTACAGAAAAAAACTATTTGCAAACCACAAGAGAAMAAATGTCCTGAAAAAACAAACATTTTGGTCTTGCAGTGAAACATTTTTTTTCTTTTRAACCCACTTTCAAAATTTAGGGTTCATGTTGAAGYTTYAGCTGTACCTGCAGAAAAAAATTGTATCCGGATTGCATGAGCTAACGAAATATTTYCGAGTGAACTTCACTTCAGTTGACGGTCYGATTTCGGGGGAAATTCCGGGTTGGATAATTTTTGATGTGACCCTGTATACGGAATTTTTTGTCCTAAATTMTCTSTGAATTGTTAGCTTCAACATGAGGTCAAAATCGTGAAAGTCGGACCAAAATCAGAAAAGTTATCCYTCCAAGASCAAAAACGTGATTTCTTGAGACCACCCTGTAAATAAAGAGATGGCCGAAAAMTTGAGAAACCGTTTCGAGATATTTGATTCAGCCTCAAAYTTTTGGTAGTGAGATCCGAAAAATATTTTTTCTTCTAACTAGAGGCATGCCGAAATKTCCACAACTTTGCACTGTTTCCTTTGCCACCGTGTAGAATATTGCTCTAAAGTGCTTAATTTTTATCAAAAAACTGACTAAGACAAACCAAATGGGGCTAA